AAGATCATCCAGTTTCTTCGTTTCTCCCTAAAAATCTTCGGATGTACTCTATTCTTATGTTTTTCTTTCCCCATCATGTCTAACTAATCCGATTGTTGGACGAAGGATGTATCCGGTGAACCTTTAATTTTATTTCTATTCTTTGTTACTTTTAGATTAATTGATCGTTATTTTATTGATTTGTAAATTTTGTAACGAACTGAAAAGTAAGTTATGAATTCAGACCACATAGTAAAATCAAGTAATTGGATAAAAGTTAAAATACACTTTTATTATTGTTGCGATCATAAGCTAAATTTTTAGGTGATTAAATGCTTTTAATTGAGGGACTGATGTAGAGATATAATGAGTTGACTCGATTAGATAATATTAATTTGACTTGAAAGAGATAAATTGATTAAATTATTGAATTTGACCGAACACAACTTTAGAAAGTGAACTTTATAGAAGAGAGTGAGTCCCAATATTTTTCACACTTAAGTTAAAAATCGTAATTTTTTATTATTATGCATTTTTAACTACAAGCATTATATGAATAACATTTCCCACGAGAGTTTCAAAGTGATCAACTTATGAAACGTAGTCACCTTTGGTATACCTAGGCTAGCACACCACTCGTAGTCAAGGCGTGTTGTCATGGAGTGAATTATCCAAATGGTTACTGAACTTTGTAAAAAGTTTCCACGAGGTTACTGAACTTTAAAAACTACTCAATTCATCACTAAACTTTGCAAAAGGTTTTCATGGAGTCATTGAACTTTAAAAATCGTCCTATTCATTACTGAAATTTGCAAAAGGTTTCCAGCAGATCACCGAACTTTACAAAATGTTTCTAGGGGTCACTAAATTTAGTGAACTCTAGGAAATCTTTTACAAAGTTCAGTGATGAATTGGAAGGTTTTTAAAATTCAGTGACCCCGTGGAAACCTTTTGCAAATTTTAGTGATGAATTGAATGATTTTTAAAGTTTAGTGACCCTATGGAAACCTTTTCCAAAGTTTAGTGACCATTTGGGTAATTCACTCATTGTCGTGTCCTAAGATCAATCTATTCAAGTTTGTAATCATTTTTAAGAGTCTCTTTAAATATAACATGTAACGACCCGGACCTCTCGCCCAAACCGTTAGCTTACGTACTGTCCGTTTTGGGTGGGCCTTACGCCCACATACCCTTCACGGCTTTCTATCGCGTCTCCCAAGATTCGAATTCATGACCTTTCCCTTAAGTAAGACTTAAATTGAATCTTAGTACCAATTAGACAAATAAAAAAACGCGTGTTTTTTTTTTTAAAGAGACAGCAAACTTTAGATTACTAACCCCCCCTTTTTGTGTAAACGGTGATTTGTAAATTTATTCATGTGGCACATATTTACTTTCAAACATAATTTATTTATAAAGAATGTTCGTAGAATAGATCCATACACGACATCCATAGTAATCTAATTTAAAGAAAACGTAAACATTTCAAGTTATTAAATCACCGGCTTCTCCATGGCATGTCACATCATCCTTTACCATCATCCACACCCCAAGGAAAAATCCATTCAACATGTAGGAAGGGAATGAACCCATGAGTTTCAAACTCAATAGATATCATCAGTGCATTTTATTGTCAAATTAAAAATTTCGAACTCTAAATTCATATCATCGCACGTAGATGGATTTCCAGCAAAATTCAATTACTATAGCATTATCATAACATGTAGAGTCGGAGAATGATCATTCAAACTGTTGTAGTGTCGAAGCACCGTACTCGGAGGTACCATTTCATTCAAACATTTATTGAAAATCATAATTTGAATTTTCTTGGATTTTCTTGGATATCAAAGAACAAAATGTGTAGGAAGCCTTTCTTCTTCTCACCCTTATTATTCCCTTAGTCTTAAATTAACATGAAATATGTTTCTTTTCGAGAGAAAATAAGATGAAATTCGGATTTGAGTAGGAGTATAGTGAAAAAGTGACATTCCACTTCTTGTAACCTTTCTTTTTAATAAAAACTAAATGGGGGGAGTATTATTATCAATAAGTTTGTTAAATTGGGTCTTTAACTAAGAATTTGAAGAGTTTTTTAAGCCTAAAAAAATAACTCATAAAATTTTTTATAAAAACATCTACATGGTGATTCGAACCTAAGTTGCCTATATGAAATACCATGTAGATGGACATTGGGACAACCCAATTATTCATTAAATATTTGTAATCAAATTTACTTAAACTTAATCTTTTAAATTGTTGTGCTATTAATTAATTTATGGTTTGAGCTTTCAAAATCTTAAATGGTTTGAGCTTCCACAACTTGTTTCTTGAATGAGATAAACTCGTGGTGTTAGATCATCACAATATAATAGCCTAATTTCATTTTATTCTTGGGCTTCTACATCCCTTACACCTTAAACAAAATTTCGTCCTCGAAATTTACCTTATGGATCGGCTAAGAGTGTCAGATATTTGTCTTTGACTTCTTCTTCTCTTTCCCAAGTAGATTCTTCTACTCCATGATTATTCCATTGCACTTTGACCAATTGAATCTCCTTGCTCCATAATTTATGTACCTTTTGATCTAGTATATTAATTGGTAATTCCTCTTAAGACAAATCTTTCTGTATTTCCAGGGGTTGATAATTCACCACGTGATTAGGATCATGCACATACTTCTCGATCATCGATATATGAAACACGTTGTGAACGGCTGATAATTCAGGCGGCAAAGCCAGTCGATAAGCCACATTCCCGACCCAAGTATTTCAAAAGGTCCGATACTAGTTTCCATTTCTTGCCGAACCTAAGTACATCCTTTATTGGTGCCACCTTTAGAAAAACTTTCTCTCCAACCTCAAATTTTAAGTCTTTTCTCCTGGTATCTGCATATTTCTTTTGTCTATCTTGCGCGGCCTTTATCTTGGTACGGATCTTATCAATGGCTTCAACTGTTCTTTCAATTATCTCTGGTCCCAAAACTTTCTTTTCTCCAGCTTTATCCCAATGAGTAGGTGATCTACACCTTCTACCATAGAGAGTTTCATACGGTGCCATTCCAATAGTTGTTTTGAAACTATTACTATATGCAATTTTCACTAAAGGTATATACGATTTCCAACTACCTCCTAGATTCTGAACATATGCCCTTAGCATATCTTCTAAAGTTTGAATGGTCCTTTCAGATTGACTATCAGATTGAGGGTGATACGCCGTATGGAAATTCAATTTCGTTCCCATAGCTTCTTGTAAGCTCTTCCAAAACTTTGACGTAAATTCCGGATCTCTATCAGACACAATGGACACAAGAACATCATGCAATCTTACAATCTCTCTAATGTACAACTGTGTCAATTGATCTAGACTAAACGTCATTTTTACAGGAAGAAAATGAGCCGACTTTGTTAGACGATCCACTATTGCCCATATAGCATTGTGTCCTCTTGATGATTTTGGAAATCCTACCACAAAGTCTATTGCGATATTTTCCCACTTCCATTCAGGTATGTCCAATGGATTTAATAACCCTGCTGGTCTTTGATGTTCTACTTTAACTTGTTGACACACTATGCATTTTCCCACAAATGAGCCTATACTTCCTTTCATGTTCCTCCACCAAAATGTATTTCGAAGGTCTCGATACATTTTCGTACCACCAGGATGTGCGGTGTACGAGGTGGAATGAGCTTCCTCCAATATCTCTTTCCCCAAAACTTCATCCTTATGTTCACAAATTCTTCCTTTGAGCATTACTGCTGATCAGAAGCTATTTCGAAATCCTTTCTCTTGTTAGTATAAATCACGTTCTTGATCTTTTGCAGAAATAGATATTTATCATGTGCTTCTATGATCCAATCTCTAAGAGTGGTTCAAACAATCAAAGTTGCTAAATAAGCGGTGACTTGTTCTGGTGTGGTAATCATTTCGATTCGCAAATTTTTCAAGTCTTTGATCAACTCCATCGAAATAGTAGGTAATGATGCCAACTGTTCCATCGACTTTCTGCTTAGAGCATCAGCAACAACATTAGCGTTACCAAGATGGTAATGAATAGTACAATAATAATCATTTACTAGCTCCAACCATCGTCTCTGTCTCATAGTCAATTCCTTCTATGTAAAAAAATATTTGAGACTCTTATGATCATTGTAAATATCACACTTCCCTCCATATAAGTAATGGAGCCATATTTTTAATCCATGAACCATCGCTACAAGTTCTAGATCATGCGTCGGGTAGTTCCGCTCATGTTGCTTCAATTGTCTTGACGCATAGGCAATTACTTTTCCATGCTGCATCAGTACACATCCCAAATCGTGTTTGGATGCATCACTATATATAACAAATCATCAGGTATTGTTAATATAGGTGCTGTAATCAATCATTGTTTTAGCTCTTGGAAGCTTTGCTCACATTTATCTGTTCATTGAAACTTTACTCCTTTCCTTGTCAATTGTGTCATTGGTCCATATATTTTGAAGAATCCTTCTATAAATCTCCGATAATATCCAGCCAATCCAAGAAAACTTCGAACTTCACTAGCATTAGTCAGTGTCTTCCAATTAGTTACCACTTCTACCTTTATCGGATCTACTTCAATTCCTTGGGCAGTAACTACATGACCGAGGAATCCAACTCGTTCAATCCAAAATTCACACTTTTTGAATTTGGCGTATAATTTTTCCTTACGCAATGTTTCTAATGCTATTCTAAGATGTTCTTCATATTGATCTTTACTCTTGGAGTAAATTACAATGTCATCAATGAAGACTATAAAAAAATTTATCCAAATACTGATAAAATACTCTATTCATTAGATCCATAAACACTGCCGGAGCATTTGTCAATCCAAATGGCATAACCGTGAACTCTAATGTCCATAACGAGTTCTGGAAACTGTCTTAGGTATATCACTTTCCTTAACCTTCAATTGATGATATCCAGATCGTAAATCGATCTTGGAAAATACCTTAGCTCCTTTCAATTGATTAAACAAATCCTCGATTCTCGGGAGAGGATACCTAGTCTTGACAATCAAATGGTTCAACTCCCGATAGTCGATACCCATCCGCATACTTCCATCTTTCTTCTTTACAAACAATATCGGTGCGCCCCATGACGATACACTTGGTCGAATAAAGCCAATTGTCTAACAGTTCTTGTAACTGAATTTTTAACTCCTGAAGTTCTTTTGGGACCATTATGTATGGAGTTTTAGATACTAGCGCTACTTCGGGAACTAAATCTACTGTGAATTCCACTGGTCTATCTAGTGGAATACCAGGTAGATCTTCTGGAAACAAATCTATAAATTCTTGTACCACTAGTACATCCTCAATCTTTATCGTTGCCAGTTTTTCTCCTGAGATATTAACTGGAAATCCTTGAGATATTTCCTTTCTTGACATTTTCTCAGCTTTAAGGCCGATACTAGTTAGAGATGGGGTTGGGTCTTTATTCCGGGGAAAGAAAATTGTTCATCTCTTGGTTTGTAAAAAGACACTTCTCTTTCTCTACAACGAATGGTTGCATAATTATATCCTAACCAATCCATGCCCAAAATCATATCAAAGTCTTTCATCTTTATCACATACAAATTTGCTTCAAATGTTTTTCCCTCAATTTTAAGATTCACCGACCTAGCGAACTGATTTGTGTTCAATGTTCTACCTGAGGGAATGCTAACTTCTAGTGTACTCTTTGATTTATCACAATTAATACTTGATTTAGCGATGAAAGATGTTGATATAAAAAAATGAGTAACTCTTGCATCAAACAATACATAAGCAGGTGTATCATATATTAATAATGTACCTGCTATCACATTTGAGTTTTCCTCTGCATCCTTCTGGGTCATTGTAAAAACTCGTGATTTCCCCTTCTTGTTATAATCATTGTTATCATCCTTCTTCTGAGCAAATGTGGGACAATCCTTAGCAATATGTCCTGATTTACCACACCGAAAACAAGCATTCTTTCTATACAAGCATTTCCCACGATGAGGCTTACCACACTTAGGACATGGTGCTACTGCAGCAACTATGCCCTTACTAACACTAGGTCCAGTATTACCCTTCTTATTTTGCCATTTGCCTTTTCCTTTGTCTTGACCATTCCATTTTCTCTTTACAACCCGTCATTTGTCCTGCTGGTTGTACAATTGATGGTGTTGCTCTGCATTTGCCTTCTGATACTAAACAGCGTGAGCTCATTCCAGCATCTCATGGTATGATGTGAAACGATGTAACATAAGAATCATGCTTAGATTCGAGTTTAGCCCTTGCTCAAACCTTCGAGTCTTCTTAATTTTCGTGTCCACCAGGTGTGGAGCATACCTTGAGAGTTGGTTAAATTTTCACTCATAATCAGTCAGGGACATATTACTCTGCTCGAGTTGAAGGAATTCGTTTTCCTTGAAATTCCTTAGAGACTAAGGAAAATACTTGTCCATCACTTCCTCCTTGAATTGTTTCCAAGTTAACGTCAATTGTTGCTCTGGGGTCTTAGTTCGAAACATCAAATCCCACCAGTGACTTGCATCAGCGATAAACGTAAACTCCATACATTGGACCTTTTGGGCATCAATGTAGTCTATGAGTCAAAAACTTTGTTCTAACAATTCCTCAACTACTAGTGGACCAGATGCTCCATCGAAGGTAGGGGTTTATGCCTTCGAAAAATTTAATAATTAATTCTTTAATAAACGAGTACTCTCCACTCATTTTACTCGTAGTCTTCTTCTAGGTCCTCCTCTGGGTTTTCCTCTTCTTCTTTGCTAGTATTGGTCACAACTGAAAGTACGAGTTCATAATCTTAGATCACTACCTATTCGGGTCTCATATGGGAGATAACATCACCGATCTTAGTCTCCCAATTACAGATACATGCATTGGCAAAAACCTCAAAGTCAAGTTCTTTAAGGACACTTTCCAAAATTTTTGGATAACATATTTTCTCGTATAAGCTTCACGATTTGTTTCTCATAAGGTGCAAGAGTTTCTAGTAAATTACCTATTTCTTGTCAGTCACTAATCCTCATTTTTTGCGTTTACCCAATGTTGGTACATGTTTCGTATGTGATTGTCAAGGTCTACAAATTCGTCAGCCTCAAAATCTAGGTAAGCTTGGATATTTATCTCCTATTGACTAATATGGTTCCTTTCCTTTGAATTTTTGACTTTCCTTTGCCATTTGCGACCCATAACTTTAAGCTTTAGCTAAATAAATGTCTTTTGAATGACTCATTTTTTTTAGACTACATTTACCTTTACATGTAAGGTATATATAAAGAAAAATGTAAAACATAGCGAAACATGGAAAACATAACTATAGAATCATAACATTTTGTATAAGAAAGATTTTAACTTTGCTTAGCTAAATATACCTGAGCCGTAGGATGAAGTCGACTGATGGATGCGAGATGCCATGGAGTGCCTTAAATATTTCATTTTTCTCATTTTATAAATAAAATACATTAAGTCTACAGAATCGATTAAACTTGTGCTCTGACACCATGCTGTAACGTCTCGACCCGCACGGATCGAAACGTCACGAGATTAACTGTACTTTAGTCGTAATTTTTTAAAACTATAATTCAATAAAAAAAGAAAACAATTTAAAAAATGTTTTTAGAATGGATTTCATGCATGTAACGACTATTGACGTGAAATTTTTGACAAAACTTAAAAAGTAATGTTGCTGTTTTAGTTTTTGTCTCAAACGGTAATTGTCAAAATAAATTTGTTTGCATAGCTATCGACCTCAAAATTTCATCAAATTTTAATGTAAAGTAGGAAATCCTTATAAAATGACATAGTCAAAAATTAGCTTCCAACGACATCATATAAGGTAATACAATATTTTTCCAACCTCAGCAGCGACTCAGTTGAAATGTAAATCGGTGCAGTTCACTTAAAATAACATATAAAATTTCAAAAATATCGAAACCAAATGATTTCAAATTTATTCAGTAGCTAATCCATGAGACTTCAAATTCAATTGGTTTTATCTAGAAATTCCAAGTAACGAAGAAATTATGAATTTTAAAAAACGAGGCAGAATCTGATTTTTTTTTTTAAAAGAGACAGCAAACTTTAAATTGCTAACCTTTTTTTTTTTTTTTTTTTTAAAAAATGTCTGTGGCTCTTTTGCTAACCTTTTTTTTTTTTTTTTTCTGTCCTTGATTGAAATAAATGAGGACAATTGCGTCACCAGTGAGGCAATTGGGCTGAATAGTGAGGAATGGGCCCCCACTGTTTTTTGTAAACAATGATTTGTAAATTTATTCATGTGGCACATATTTACTTTCAAACATAATTTATTTATAAAGAATGTTCGTAGAATAGATTCATACACGACATCCATAGTAATCTAATTTAAAGAAAACGTAAACATTTCAAGATATTAAATCACCGGTTTCTCCATGGCATGTCGCATCATCCTTTACCATCATCCACGCCCCAAGGAAAAATTCATTCAACATGTAGAAAAGAAATTAACCCATGAGTTTGAAACTCAATAGATATTATCGGTGCATTTCATTGTCAAATTAAAAATTTCGGACTATAAATTCATACCATCGCACGTAGATGGATTTCCAGCAAAATTCAATTATTATAGAATTATCATGACATGTAGAGCCAAAGAATGATCATTCAAACTGTTGTAGTGTCGAAGCACCCTACCCGGAAGTACCATTTCATTCAAACATTTATCGAAAATCATAATTTGAAACGAAATAAACACTTGCACCCTACCTACCTTGAATTTTCTTGGATATCAAAGAACAAAATGTGTAAGAAGCCTTTCTTCTTCTCACCCTTGTTATTCCCTTAGTCTTAAATTAACATGAAATATGCTTCTTTTTGAGAGAAAATAATATGAAATTCGGATTTGAGTAGGGGTGTAATGAAAAAGTGACCTTCCACTTCTTTTAACCTTTCTTTTTAATAAAACTAAATGGGGGGAGTTATATTATCAATAAGTTTGTTAAATTGAGTCTTTAACTAAGAATTTGAAGAGTTTTTTAAGCCTAAAAAAAAACTCATAAAAAGTTTTATAAAAATATCTACATGATGATTCGAACCTAGATTGCCTATATAAAAAACCATGTAGATGACCAACCCAATTATTCATTAAATCTTTGTTATCAAATTTACTTAAACTTAATCTTTTAAATTATTGTGCTTTTAATTAATTTATGGCTCGGACTTTCAAAATCTTAAATGGTTTGAGCTTCCACAACTTGTTTCTTGAATGAGATAAGTTCGTGGTGCTAGCCCATCACAACATAATAGCCTAATTTCATTTTATTTCTTGGGCTTCTACATAACATGCTCTTTATTTTAAGGGAAGACCACATAAGTCCTTCATTTAAAAATCACATTTCAAAACTAACAAACTTCTAAAAATATTTCAAAAATAAGGTGATAATTAAATATTTAATTATTATATAATATAATTAATTTACTTATTATATCTCACCTTCAACCCATCCACCCATCACATTAAACCATTCTCATTCTCTCTTCATCCCACCTCACCTCCGACAACTTTGGACGACAGCTCCGGCAGCTTCTCCGGCGACGGCTTCGGCAGCTTCCGGCAACGACTCCGATGATGGCTCAGCTGACTTCCGGCGACAATTCCGACGACTTCCTGATGATCGCTCCAGTGACTTATCTCGTTCCGACGACTATTTCGGTGACCACTCATTGGCCATTGACCTATGACCAGTTGCATTAAATCTGTGACCTGTGCGCATTGTTATCTGCGATCGATTTTATTGAATATGTGACCTAATCAGGTGAGATGAATATGCATATGACCAATTTCAAAATTATGAAAAAAGTTCGAAATTTCAAAAATCAAATTTAGTTATGAAATAATTAATCAAAAAATATTTTTGTAATTAAATATATTAAATTCACAATTTTTTTCTTAGCAATAACCTGTGACCTGTGTACATTGTGACATATAAAATATGATTTTCAACTTGTGATTTGTTACTTATGACTCGTAATATAAAATGTGGCCTATAAATCTAATCTGTGACTTCTATAAAACGACATGTGACCTGTTAATATTGATCTGTTACCCGTTTATACTGATTTGTGACTTATATGAAATGACTGTGACTTGTGAACTCAAACCTGTGACCTTAATTGCGAATTGTGACCCGTAACGTATGAACTGTGACATTATGTGTTCACCACCAAATTTGTTTTCGGTGTGATTGTCTGTGACCATGTTAGTCTAATTTGTGACTATATATAGCCGAGTCACATACAGTCACAGTTAACACAAATCTGGTCACAGGCAATCACAATGAAAATAGATTTGGTCATTCACCACCATTCCCAACATCGGAAACGAAACGTACACCACCTCACCAGAAACAAATGTAATACAAGTGACGAAACCATTGGCACCGCACTGCGCCATACCACACCACCATCAATATAACCTAACAACATCACCACAGACGCCAGCACCATAACCAAACCACCACCACCAGATTCAACAAAAATCGCCCCAATCGTCATATCCACTGCCACTGCCACCAACAAAAATCAGTCACCACCATATCCAACAAAACCATTGCCTCAAAGTCAAAACCGTCCCAAACCACCATAAGCAGCATCAAAACCAACACCTCACCCTCAGCGGATTCACCACCACCGTTAACATCCCACCACCACAGCAACCTCATTAACCAGGCATGAAAAACCATCGCAAAGAAGATCTATTACGCTGCCACTACTGAAAATCACAACAGGTGATGTAACGTCCCGACCCCTTGTGGACCGAAACGCTACTTACTTTACTTAGCTTAACCCGTGGTTTAGTAACAAGTGTATACGTTTTAGCGGAAGCTTATATTTTCGAATAATAATTTAAATAACAATACTTCAAATACTTTAAACAAAAACACTGAATCATTTTTCAAAATAACAAAATGTAATTTATTTGAAAAAAAACATAACTTGTTCTCGCATTCTGCGTTATTCAAAACTTTAAAGAAATAACGTTGGAAAACATTTCATAAAAATAAATCCAAATCACTTATTCACCGGATTTCCATGGGCTCGTTGCATCACTCTCCATCTTCTCCTCCATCCATACCCGAGGTAGAATTCCTTCAATCTGTAGAGATAGGATTAAACCCGTGAGTTGAAAAACTCAATAGGTGTCATAGGTGCATTCGTGATCA